TGATACCAATCGAACGAATCAGTTTAGCAGGGGGTGAAAACTTAAATGTTGCACTGCGTTTTGATCGAAATTATCACATGATAGAACATCGACAATCTGATCTATAGTATTTTGATGCACTTTTCTCAAGAGCAATTTCTTTTTTGATTTGCTTCGATTTTTTAGTGTAATCTAAAAATAATAAAATGTAGTGTCAGTATTAAGTAATATATAATTTTATTCACAGAACAGAAGAAGAAATTATTTACCAGTCAATTCAAGATTCAAACTAGTGCTATTAAAAGTATCGGGTAGCGATACGATAGGGGCTGCTTGACTTAAGTCACTTAGAGGATCAAATTTTTGTTTGTTATCAAAATCCATTTGATAATGAATCCTTTCTTTTGACATTGCAAGAGTTTGTTCAGGTTTTTTCACACTAAGCTTCAACTTCCTACTAAGTTTTGGTTTAAAATCTGGTTAAATAAAATTAAAAGATATATAATTAATATTATAATTTTAACATGATAATAATTATTTAAACAGAAAAATAGAATTAACTTACTGTAAATTTCAAGATTTAATTTTGTAGGAGATACATGTATAACCTTTATTTCTCTGGTGGTATAATATGCTTTATGTGTATCCGGAGGGCTTGTTATGATAAACTGTTCAGATTGTAATTCCAAACGTATTTTTTCGGCTTCTTCAATCTGTTTACGAGCACCTCCGGAACCTTTGATAAAATCTTTAAGATCCAATTGTATGGTTTGAATAGTTGGACGTTGTTTTGGATCTTGATTCCAACAACTTTCCATTAAATCTTGATAAAATTGAGGAGTGTCTGGAGTGATATCTGGTCGAATACCACTACAAATGTCTACTTGAAGTTGAAAATCATGACCACGATTCGCAAATGGTTGTTTACCCGAAGAGATAACCCACATTAAAACACCGGTACTATAAATATCGGAAGCTTTCGTGTATGGTCTTCCTTGTAATACTTCAGGAGCGATATAAGGAATCACGCCGTATACAACATTAGGACTTTGAAGTTTGAATCCTTTAGATACAAAATGACATAATCCAAGATCACTGATAGCGGCATAATTCCTATCATTCCTATCTCCCGAGTGGACCAAAATGTTACCGGCATGCAAGTCTTTGTGGAGGACGTTTTCTTCATGAATATTTTTAAGTCCTTGAATAATATCACTTAGAATAGATAATTTTTTATCCCAAGTGAGAGTTTTAAAGTTTTTAGAAACATAATTAATCAACGAGCCATTATTTGCATATTCGATAACAGCGATATAGTTTTTGGTTTGAGGATCACGAGAAATGCCATAGCAATGGACAATTCGATTGCCTTCAATTGAACAATTGAGAAATGGTTTCAACTAATTTTTTATAATAATAATCATAATAATAATAAATGATAAATACTTGAAACAAAATGAAGAAATGATTTAAGCCATTAATAATAATAATATATACTAACCTCGTTAAAGAAATTTGAAGAAACATTATGAGAATTATTGATTGTTTTAAGAGCAACTTCTTTTGGACCAGTTCTTTCCCAACATTTCGAAACATCATTCCAATTCCATCTTGGACCATCCAACCAAGTACCAGAAGAAACGCTACCGTAAGCACCGTACGCGATAAATTTAATATCTTCAATCCTTTCATAAGGGATCCATTCCAAGTAATCAGCGCGATCGATAGCCTTCAATTGCGTTTTTCTTATAAATTTATCCAACTCATGATTACCACTAGTCCATGATTTAAAAGCACCTTTAAAGGAAGTACTCTCACATTGTTGACACCATTGATTACCCGGTAACCTCTCTTTACACTTTATACATATTTCGCAAAATGCACCAGAGTCAACTCTACTATTGGACATTGTTTAAATTATTGATTACTGTCGTAAAGTTTTTTTAAAGAGTGAATTCAATAAATCTATTATTAAATAATTGAATTGTTTAAATAATTAAATTAAGATGAAATGGGTAAAATTCATCAATAATAATGAATGATTTAATATATGATATAATTCACAATTTGTTTGTTTGAAAAAATATAAAAACTTTTTTTAACACTTGTCGTACTTGAGAACCAGAATACAATGTGTAGGTATTTTTTTTTTTTTGCAGCGATAATTTAGAGTTTCTAACGTTGCAACTTTCAATATATATATATAGAATTTTTTTTTTTGTTTTTAGATAAATTAAACGTAAATTATTCTTTAGTCAAAATTCAAAAATGAATAAAGACAAGTGAAAAAAAAGTTCACTCGGGGGAAACGCCATTCCCTAAATTGATATGTTTATATAATTTTACTTGTTTCATGATAAAAGTAGTACGGATCTTTTAGAATAATTAAATGTCACACGATTTTACCGAATTCTTTCGATCATTGCCCGAACGATGATTTTCGACCTTTTAAAAAACTATTACAGTATTATGAGTGATAATTTCGATCAAAACGCAGTGCAACATTTAAGTTTTCACCCCCTGCTAAACTGATTCGTTCGATTGGTATCA